TAACTAATAATATACTAATAATAACTAATAATAAACTTAATAATAAAACTAATACTACAACTCATTCTATAACAATACTAATTCTTTTTAATTTATTGCAATTTTTTTTTAAATAAATATGATAGGAACGATAATATTAATACAAGCTCATGAATGAGATTCATATTTAATAAAGCCGACTTAAATCTGCCCTTGTACATGTATATCAGGAAATAATCATGCAAAGTAGAAATTGTACCTGGTAGACATTTTTATTATATGTCTATAATAAATAACTGAGTAATTTAATAGTACTCAGATAGAAAATTTTTTGTCAAGTATAATCTCTAGTGCAAAGATTCTAATTCTAATGGCCATAATAAAAATAATAGTGGTGTGCCTCAAAAGTATAACTATGTACAAGACAACGATATTGGAAGCAACTAAAAAAAAGCAACGATCATATTATTAGGATGTAAGAGAAAAAAACTTTTGATTCGAATCTTTATTTAATTTACTGCTTATATATACTAATTACAATTTTATTAAGCTTCAGATTAAAAAAATATGTCATCAATTGTCCAATCCTTAGTGCTACTAGACTTTTGAATATGAGTCATTGAATTTGAATCTTCGTCGATGATTTCTTGATCTTGCATGAAAGTACTAACATCAAAGAACTCTTCCATTGCTAGCTTCTTATCATCCATAGCAACATTTACCGCTTCAACATCAAATTCTAAAGGTTCCTCAAATGTTTCGTCTTTAAACAAAAGATCAATGTTAAGATTTTCAGTATTCATTGCATTTGTAAGATTTGTGGATGAAATTTGATTTTTAGTTTTTTTTTTAGTGATTTGGATAGCTTTTGTTGATGATCATGGTGAAGCATTCTAAGCATTTTCATCAAATCAGTAGATATTCTGTTTCAAGACTTTGTCTTTACTAATCCCAAGCTGGAAAATAGTCGTTCAACAGCTGCCGCGTGTAAAACAATCGAGAAAACCTTTATAGCAAATCGTCAAAGCAGAGAAGAACCTCCAGAAAACTGTGCCCAGAAAGTTCTAAGATTGATATCTTTAATTTTTTTGTAATCAAAAGGTGCATCACCATTTTGATAATTGACAAGCTCTTTAGACAAAAGAATAGCATCTCTTTTATCAAAGTTCCAAGCCTTAGCTAATTCCAAAGATGCTCTAATGATTGAATTACTAGACATTTTTTTTGACATTGCAATTTGCTTGTAGTATGGAGACAAAAAAAGAGCAACAAAATAAATGCTATCAGAAAACTCGCGGGCTCATTTGTTGATAGCTGCTAATGTATGATTCTTGAATCCATCAATTAGAACATTTGCTCTTGAAATAGTATAATGAATATTTATTAGTTCCTTAAAGATATCAGCTAATGTAGTTTGTCTTGATTCAAGGCGACCAATGGTGTCTACGACAGGAATAAGCATTGTCACCAATGTGTCATTATTAGCAAAATGATGACAATTATTAACAATATCTCAAATCTCCATTTTGATATTAGGGTAATTATTTGTTCTACTAAGATTAACACATTGATGAAATCCTTTTTCAAAGTTTTTCACACCTGAACAAACTTTTGCTAAGGAGTACCACCTTGTTTTACAAAATGTTGTAAGCATATGGGATATACCCTCTTTTTTTGCCAATCTTGCAGTGTTCGAAGCCATATATGAGAAGACGTGAAAAAATTAATGAGCTTTTAGTTATTTTTAATAACTGCAAGTAAAGGTTAATAAGCTGAAATATCTTTCACAAGTAAGTTAAAGGAATGAAGGCAACAGTGGTCGGAATAATATTTGGGTATTTTTCCTTGAGATCATTTCTCATTTTAACCATAACCACAGGATTATCGGTCACACATGCAATAACAGATTTAATGAGAACTGAATTTAATTTAAGTATTGCTCTGAGTTTCTCTTTAAGGAAAACCGCGATATGCCGATTTGCTGATAGGTTAATAATTTCTAAAACATGCTCCTGTTCTTCTTTTAGAGCTATAAAACCATAGATCAAATTTCGGGACACATTCTGCCAACCATCTAAAGCAACAGTAATGTCAGTAAGAGACGACATAACTTTAAACTTCTTAGGCAAGTAAGTTGAAAATGAATTATTAAGAATTTTAGTGCTTAATGTTTCAGCAGATGGTGGGCAATAATTTGAAGCAAGTTCTTTGAGAAACTCATGAAAGTAGGGATTTTTAACTATTCTAAAAGAAAGATTGCCATAAATAACAGCATCAAGTAGTTTTTTATCAATTTTGGCTTGTTTGTCTTGTGAGATTGGCTTGACAATCCAATTTGTTAGGTTATCTTGACATTTTAGTGTAGGCGAAGAGGGGCTATCGGTGGAGTCATTTGCACTGTAAGAGTTCTGTTAGCTAAGTAGTTTTTTTAACATATTATCAAATATAATAACATATTCGGATTGTTTTTGATCTGAACTAATAAAACTTTTTTTGTGAGATTTAGGTGTTGAGCTCGTAACTTTTATAATATAACTATTTTTCTCAGTTACAGGCCAGTTACCATATGTGAGAACATGGTTATGGAGCTTATCAGATCTGCCACATAAGTCACATTTACAGTAAAAGCATTTGGCGATATATCTATTTTTCACAACTTTTTCTGAGGAACGCCAAAATCCAGTCCAACAGTGGTCAAAAAATGACATGTTAGGAAGAACAAAACCAGGCGGTGGTTGAGATTGCATAGTATTATTGCAAATGTGAGAGTTTTTTGGTTAGTTATTTGTAAGAGCAAGTGAACCAAATTTGCACAACAAATTTTCTTTTTTTTATACTATATATAAAAATTTTAGTTCCAATTTCTAATTTATTTTAATTTATTTTTATTGATATGAAAAGTATAGATGTAGATTATATTTGTATTAGAAGATGAGAATTCTAATTTTTTTCATTATCTCTTTGTTCATAATATGAGCAATTTCCTGGAAGCAATATGTAAAGCTTATTATAATGCTATTATTTAATAAAGGATTTATTTTTATACTGAGCATTTTATTTTTTATGCCAATATTTTTTTTTTTTTTTTAATATTTCTGTGCAATCAGGGTTTTTGTTCCTTATTAGAAGGATATCTAAGTTCATAATAATTTCACACTTTCATACATTCTATTAATGTTCTTTTTTGATTAATTAATTCATGTTGTTAGATTAAAAAGATAGTTAATAAAATGGTATACTTACAGCAACATGCTATGCGCTAGTATCGCTTGCTATATGGCGCAACCAGGGTTGCAGCTTATTACTACAATAAAATGTAATATCTTTAATATTTATAACTTATCTTGTAATAATTACAAGATAGATAAGCTGTAATTATTAAGTTGCGACTTTGTAGCAGGCAATTCTACTATGCGCTTTCTGGTCTGGAACTTGAAAAACAGATGATGACTAATTCTGCTATTTGAAACTTCTAGATTCTAGTAATAATTTACTTCTAATACACTGCTTATTTAAGAAATTAATTATTATAGTTGAAATTTTTCATTATCAGATTTTTAATGATAATAAGATCAAATTAAGGTGATTTAACCTGTTAAAGCAAATTAGTATTACTATATTTGCACCTTATACTTTCCTTTCGTAATAGAATCATGCCACTTTCACGCAATTATAAATTTGTTATTGTTAATAGTTAGCTTGTATTAGTGATGCTTGCTGCAAAGGCGCAACTTAATTTTTACAGCTTATTTATGCTGTAATTATTACAAGATAAGCTATAAATACTATATTACCGATATCACATTCTATTGCGACAATAGGTTGCAACCCTAGTCACACTATAAAAAAGTCGCACTTTATATTTGCAGCAAGCAACACTAGCTTGTATTAAGCAATTGAAAAGCATTAGCCTATCATTATATACTCATCGATTATTAAATAAAATATTTCAATAAAGAAATTCTAATATAGTCTAATATGCTGATGTTATATGTATGAATGGTTTTTTATACAATATAAAAAGTCTTTGAAGTCTACATTTTATAAAATTATTCACTATACTAATGTTATGCTAATAGCACATTGCTTTACATTAATTATATAGTATAAAGGAATTGGCATATGAATAAATAATTTTATTAGGTGGTATGCCAAACTGCCTTAAGGCATGCCACTGGCATGCCACTATAGCATGCTATCATTGGTATGCCTGTGCCACTATGCCAGATACCCTACACTAATACCAACCAGGCCGTGTATGTATAGGTAAGAGCCCCGTATAGATGAGAAAAAGGATTCAATCAGAATACCAAGGGGATGCCCACTGGTTCCTCTCCGGGCTATCTGGATTGGAAGTTTGGGGTGCTGTTGGTGAAGAGAAGTTGGTATTAGTCCGTAAAGTGTATACTGAGGTTTGGGTGAACTTTGCAAAGGCAGTAGTAAGTAACGGTAGAGGCTTTGGCTCGCAAGTACTTGTCCTCAAACTCAGCGTAAGTTACCAAATAGCCTAGTCTGGAAATGTGTAGTATATAGAAAGATTAGAGAGGTTTGTACTACACCTTTCCTAAGCAACCTGATATGTAGGTTTTATTGGGTTATCTATAGAATTAAGGCACAAGTAATTAGCAGATATCAATCTGGGTGGTCTTCATTGAAGCAGCATGAGGTTATAGATTGGTGTAATTGGGATGGTGTTACAGAACAGGGGACATCAGAGGGTTTAAATAGGTAATCTCATAGTTAGATTGCAGGTATGGCATTTAGTATAAAACCTTCGGATGTTTACTTAAATAGACAATTAAAAGTTGCATATGTGGCTAAATGTACTCTCATTAACCAAGAATATAATATTAAATATCTAATAAAAATTACCTTTCCATGACATTGTGACAATAAAAAAAAAAAAAATTGATGACTTCTTTGCTACGCTGCTTTTTATTTGAATATCAGTAGTATTTTTAACTGTCAGATATATCCTGACAGCTATATATATTTGTTGGGTACAACTAGCTATACCTGCACCTTTTGAGCACCTATTTAAGTAGTCTGCCTATCATCAGGTTTTACACTAGATGCTGTACTTACACCCTACTAGGATGTTACCCATTTAAACCCTTTGCGTCTATATATCAACCCTTTTATATCCAAGCAATGATACTTAATACCACCTTATTTTCACATGCTGGCTTAGGGCTTTAAAGTGGTCTCTATCATTTAGAAAGTTCTTTGACTTCAAGGTAAACCTAACAGAGCCTTCCATATCCACGTTTAGGCTGACCTAGACTTCAGTAACTTACGCCTAGTTTGAGAACAAGTACTTGCGAACCAAAGCCGCTACCATTATCTACTTCTGCCCTTATAGAGTTCAATCATACCCCAGTTCCAGTACTCATTCAATCAGGAACCCTTTCACTGTTTTATCAAACTTCTAATCCAGATAGCCTGGTTTGGTTACAAGTTACGTTATCTACTTTCCTACTGGCTTAACTCAGATACCGGCCTGTGCTCTTTTTCTCCTATTAATTCTGATGACCTGATTAATATAATGCTTGCCAAACATCTGGTTCTTGTCCAAATCCACAGCTTATTGGTTTTCTTTTCAGACTTTTCAAAACCATCGAAAGTATGTGCTACCTCTCTACTTAGACTTGCCAAGCAGATTCTTATTCAGGACAAAGTCTAATAGATTTATACAGATCCTGAGAACTTATCATGAGTTTACACTGCCTTTTATCAGTTTGTATCTCTTTGTATAACTCTTCTATTATACAAATGCCCCAAGATCTTACAAGTTTGTACTACCACTATTGATTAGGGCTTAAAAGATAAGCTGTCCATTAGGTGATCATTACCCCTTGCACCTATTTGGTCTGACCATTGTTACAGGATCTATATCCTAACACTTGAAATAGTCATTAATGCACAGAAGAATTCAATTTTTTGTTGTTAGTAGAAATTGAACTCTGGAGTGCCACTTGGGGGGTGACAACTTGACCACTTCACTAAGTTGCTACACTCTTAATATTTATATTTATATTTTTATTTATTTATTTATTATTTTTTTTTTTTATTGTTTATTTTTTTTTGGTGTTAAGGTAAGGTTATTTTTTTTTTTTTTTTTTTTCTTTTTCTTTCACTTCTCTATAAGAAGATGTCATCAGATTGGTGATATCCTATTGTAGGGCGGTGGTCAGACAAGCCCTCCGGTTAGGATATATTTTATATCTCACCAGTGCGGCAGGTTGCCTATGAGCGCTCGAAGCCATAGTAGTCATAGAATGTTAGGACTTAAGTTTTATTGTTTTGCATTTTCTATGAGATGATGACTTTAATAAACAGTATCACTGGCGCGATCTTGCCTAAGTAAAATAAAAAAATAAAAATAAAAATAAATAAAGTTATGGGCAAGATCTCACCTGAACACCAAAAAAAAAAACAAACAAGAAAAGAATGGAGTAAGGAAAAAACGAAGAAAAACTAAACTAAATACAGGATTTTTCACCCGCACCAGACGGTCACAATTATAAGCCTGTGTCGGGCTCTGTAAAAATTACATACTACTATCTAAACTAGTCTCTACTCTA